AGATGTGGGGGCTGCAGCGGCAGCTGACCTTGGCTGCATCCCCAGACCCAGGCTCCCAACAAACCCACGCATGGCCTGGGCTTCAGGGCTCTGGGGCCGGTGGAGTTGTGGTGTGGCCTGTGTAGGGGGAGGCTGGCAGGGAGAGGGGACAAGGAGGCCTCCCAGCCCCGTGCAGGGGCAGAACGAGGAGCAGATCCGCGGCCAGGGCCCGCCTCCCCGCCTGCAGCTCCAGCCTCCCCTGGAAGCGGCCCAGAAGAGGAGGAGGACGGAGCTCATTTCCTGAATGAGCCTGAGGAGGGACAGCCCACGGGCGGTGTCCACGTGGCAGCTCCCAGGCGCCCGCGTCGCCGGCAGCCTCGCCCCCAGGGGCTCTCGCGGTGTGTTTCTGCTGGGACCCGCAGCACCCCCTCTCACTGTGGGCCCCTCGCGCTGCTTCCCCTCGTGCCCTTCTCAAACTCTGCCCCTCCTCCGCTCTGCGGAATGGGCTCCTGCTTCTCCCGGGACAGCTGCGGAAGGGCCCTGAGCAGCCGGTCAGGGTCGGGGCATGCAGGTCTCTCCCACCAGCAGGAGCAGCCCACCCAGCTCCTCCGGCCGGGGCCAGCTCTCCCCCGGGTCCAAAATCTCCACCTCCATGTACCAGGCCTGCACCGGGGACACACGTATGTCTGTGCTTTGGGGCCCATGAAAACAGCGAATAAACTGGCACACACAAGATGCTGTCCTGGCGTGAGGACGGAGACAGGAGGGCAGGGGCAGGGTGGGGACAGACTGAAGAGACCGTGGGAGAGGGCCCTGCCGGGAAGTGACACCAGAGGGAGGATGTGACTGGAGAGATGCCGGGGGTCTGGGGAAGTGCTCCAGGCAGAGGCCCTGCAAATGCAAAGCCTGGGCAGGAGGTGCTCCCCGAGGCAGGAGGTGCTCCCCGGGGCAGGAGGTGCTCCCTGCTGCAGCCTCAGGAGGCTGGTGTGGGAGGGAGTGAGGAGGCCGAGCCCAGGCCTGGAGCAGGACGGGTCACTGCCTTCAGCCCTTCCCTTGTCCCAAGAGGGACAAAGACACCTGACACCTGGGAGGAAAGGTTGTGGGCCGTGCAGTTACACATGCCATCCTCGCTAAACACACATTGAGCGCCAGCTGTGTGCCTGGTTCGGTGGGGGTGGGGCTCTTCTTTGGCAGCTCAGGGACACATGCACCAGCCGACTGCCACTCTGGGGTCATCACAGTGGGACGAGGGGCCACGGTCCCCAAGTTTGGGCCTCACACTCATGGAGTGTCTCGGAGGCAGACTCTGGGTGTTCCCTCGGTCTGGCTAAACCCTCCCCCTGGAGAGCCGTTGTGGGGACCCAGGAAGCCGGTCACCAGACAACAGAGCGCCAATGAAAATGCTGCCAGCAGGCCCTGTGCCCCCGAGTCCTCTTTTGGCCTCCCTGCCTCCCTCCCTCCCTCCCTGCAGCCGCTGCTGTTCACACACCTCAAACGTGAGCACTCTGGGGAGGCCCGTGATGATGGAGCCCCCAGGAGGCGCTCAGAAGATTCTGGGGCGTTTGCCAGCACGTCCTCCTGCATCCCGAGGTGTCTGAAGGAAGCTGCGGAAGCACAGTGTTGGCTGAAGGCTGTAGGGGGTGGGGGACACAGGGCTCATCCCAAGAGCGGTGGGGCAGCGCTAATGGGGCTCTCAGGGCCCGCCATCCTGCCGTCTCCAGGAAGAAACAAGGTCCTCACGGGCCCCCCTCCTGCCCCTCTGCACCCCTCTCTCTGCTCCTTGCCTCCTCGTGGATCCCCCAAAAGAGATACAACAGTCAAACAGCTGCATTGACGGGGGCTGGCTCAGGCCCCCAGGCACTGAACACGCGTGACCTCCCACAACTCAGAGCAGGGGGGTGCCCGCCCCCATGGGACTTGCCCAGCTGCGCAGCCCGGCAGGCTCCATCGGGCTCACCCGGGTCAGGCAGCCGCGAAGCCAAGCATCCATTCTCGATGTTGCGCTCTGTGTTCCACGCTTACAGCCACGTCGGCTCCTGCTTCTTCCAAGACGAAGGCAGGTCAGCAGAGTCAGAGGATGGCAGAGCTTCTCCTGGAAGCCAGCCCAGGCCCAGCACCCCAGCCTCACAGGGCAGAGCGTGGACAGGCAGATTCCCCATGGGGGCATCAGGGCGGGCTTCCTGGAGCAGGTGTGATGCTCGGGGCTTGGAGAGGAGGGAGCATGAAGCGGGGTAGGAGAGCCAGCAGCTGCCCCTGTTCCTGCCGAGGTGCCGGCCTCTCCTACACGCTGTGAAGGTTCCCACCCCGGCCTCGAGACAGCCTAGGCCAGGCCTTTCCTTCCAGCACATCCACTCCTGCCCATCCCAGTGGCTTCTCTGTCTGGGTGGGCGGCCCAGGCCCGGGCCAGGTGAGGGAGCGCAGAGCCCCTGCAGGGCTCCCTTCCTGCTCCAGAGCCCTCCTCGGGTCAGGTGGGCGGATTCCCTGAGAACAAACTGCTGACTTCTGTCGACTGAACCAGCATGAAATCCGACCGTGTAGTGGAGGGCTTTCGATTCCAAGGCATCGTGGGCAAAACATCCCTGGTGGCTTGACGAGCTCGTGGAGGCAACGTGGGAACGAGAAGCGGGCAACTTGAAACCTGCGTCCACCCAGAGCGACCAGCCCTGAAGGGCGAGTGGGGGAGATGGGACTGAGCTCCGGCCTGAGCTGGGGACCCCTGTCCTCCTGGGCCCCCCTGGACCTCAGGGGTCCGGTTCCCTCCTGCCTGGGATGGGGCTTGCTCATCCCCTCGCCCCCCAACACGAGAGGAGCGTGGAACCTGAGCCTCACCCTCCTGTGACACTGGGCGTGGGACTTGAGCCGGGGCCTCACCTGGGAGAGGGTGGACAGGCCACCTCCCACCCCAGACGCAGGGAGGATGAAACCAGAGGACATGGGAGCCGTGGAAACCCAGAGCCTGGTACGTACACAGTCGGCACCGGATTAACACTGAACAGGAGCCCACCGTGAGCCCTGGCCATGGCACCAATCCATGCTCCTCACACCCTGGAAGGGGAGCACCAGGGAAGCCCCAGCTGGGACCTCCAGCCATTTCTGGGGATAAAGCTGACAGTGGGGGTGGGCCGTCCAGGGCTCCCACTCCAGCTGGGACCCCTGAGGAGCCTAGGGCTCCTCCCCAGGCCTGACAGCAATGTGGCCCTGGGGGTCCCTCAGCCACAAGACGACATGGCAGCCCTAACGCCCCGCTGGAGAAGGAATCCATCCAGATCCCTGCTCTGGACGTTAGGACGTGGGAGGACAGAACCTGGGGTGTGGCAGGTGTGAGTGACCCGTCTGGGAAGTGAAGGATCCTCAGAAAGGCCCCATGCAGCAGGTGACCCCACTCTGCCAGCTGGGAACCAGGGCTCAGGGGCTGGGGACATGGCTCCAAAGGGCCAGGCCAGACCCTCCATCTCCAAGAGCCTCAAGGTCTGGCCGTGAGCCTCCAGATGGTTCCGTTAAACCCGGGGCCCAGGACACCACTGAGGAAGGCGCTTCCCGCCCCAGCCCAGCCCCCCTCCGGCCCCCTGGGCTGCCCGTGGCCAGGCCTCTGCTAGGCGGCCTCCTCTGCTCTCTGGTCCCAGCATTCAGGGCCGTGTGGCTGCCCCCACCCACGGGGGACGGAGAGCACAGTGACCTGGTCATTCCGAGAGCTCTGTGGCCAGGACCCGGGGCCAGTCACACCCACAGCCCTGTGCTCCCCTGGCTGAGCCACACCCGGAGGGGTCTGAGCGGCTATGGAGGCGTGAGGCGGAAGGCTGAGACCCCACAGGCACCCAAGCCACGCTGGCCCACAGGCCCGTGTTCAGGAGCCCACGCTCAGGCCGACGGTCTGTGGCTTTCCTCCTGAAATCCGTACTCATTTTTGAGTGAGGAGCCTACATTTCCCTTTCGCCATGGGTCCCACAAATCCTGCAGCTGGTCCGGCTCCCACTCTCACACTGGCTGGAGCCCGGCTAGGTCCACAGTCTCCCTCTTTCGAGTAGGCGTCCCCTCTTCCTCCTGGCCCCGCCCCCCTCACCAAGGAGCTGGGAGGACTCGGCGTGAAGCCCGTGGAAAAGAAGCGGCTGCACATTTTCCAAGATGTTTTAAATATTGTTTTGGCAACGCTGCGGCTCCTGCAGGGCCCCAGTCATCCTGACGTGAAGCAAGCCTGATCCGCGACTCCAGCGCCCTCCTCCCGGCCGGCCCAGGCCCCTAGCTGCCTGCTGGACAGACCGGGTGGGAAGAGCCAGCCTGCCCTCTTCAAATGGCCTCCTTTTTGAGTTAAAATACGCCCCTTGACGAGTTCGTCTCCACAGTTGCTGAATAGCAGCAGTGCGTCAGTGTGGACGATTTCACACCCTGTGCAGACTTCCTGGGCCAGAAGGGGCCCAGGTCGAGTGGCATAAACCCCTCATGGCACAGGGGGAGAAACTGAGGCCCAGAGAGGCCGAGGAGGCTGCCTGGCTTCAGAGCAAGTGGCTGAGTTGGGGGCAGTCCCCAGGCGTTGTCCCTAACAGTGGGTCATGGGACATCAGAGGGTTCTGGTCTTGGGGAGCACAGCCCAGGTGGCCGCCCGGTGGGGCTCTCTGAACCTCCCTTTCCTCATCTGTAAATGAGGATTGAGGATGTTTTAAACATTAAGGACCTCATTGTACCTGAAATACATGGCCCAGGGCCTGATTCCCGGAGCACAACAAAAACCGGCAGCACATTCAGGAAAAGAGGTAGCACCTGTGAATTCAGGGCTGGACGGGTGAGTAGGAGTTCACCAGGGTGACCAGGCAGAGACAGGGATCCAGGCTGCCTAGTGGGCAGCAGAAAGGAGATTAGCAGACCCCACACTGGGTGGGAACAGGCCCATCTCCTCTCGCTTCATACCAGCTCCACTCAACGTGCCGGGGGCTCCAGGGACATCTCCTGCTGGGGAGGTAAAACTTTTCATCTACTCTGTTAGGTTCAGTATTGGAGGCCTGCAAATTAAACTGACAAAAGACAGCTTAGCGAGAGAAAAGACAGATTTTTATTCACGTATGTATGTACTTGGGAGTTCACAGAGAAATGTGACTCAAAGCAGTGGTTAGAATTTGGGGCTTATCTGCCATCTTAGGGGAAGTTGACAGGGGAAGGGAGAAGGGCACTTATAGGAAAACAAGCGACCTTTGGAAAGATGAAGGGGCCCTTCAGAGGAGTGGCAGGAGCCGGCAGAGCTGTGCACAGTGTCTGTTCGGGTGTGGTGTGTAGCCTGCTCGTCTCCGTGGTGACAGTCTTCCCTGGCTGCTGCAAGGAAGAGATTTATGACAACTGGATTCTTCTGAGTTCTTTTTGGGAGGTTCCACTCTCAGACAGATAAGAGATTTCAGGAACTCAAACGCCTTCTGGTCAAATGATTTTTACACCCCAGCACTGTATTCTGAACCCCTGCACCGCCCTCTCCAGTCCCTCCACCACTTTGCAGGTGGGTGTCTCCAGGGTGTGCTGAGGACACGGGGGCTCATAAAGCTTCGGGGCCCCCCGACATCCCCTCAGAAGGCCACGCTTGGCAGCACTTGCCGCAGGCAGGGCCAGGCCAGCTCAGGTGCACACTCCCTCCCTGGGAACAAGGCTGCTCGGGGCTGAGACAGCAGCACCCCCCATGGGGGCCTCCCCGAGGGCTGAGCCACCATGCGGGGCAGCTGCTTGGGAAAGCCACACGGGGCACAGCCTCCCACTCTGCAAGGGTGAGAAATAACCACACCCCTGGAGTCTGTGCATGTCTGGTCATCACAGCATAACACCAGGTGCTGCTACTGGGGTCTCCTTTCTCAGGCCCCCCTTACACCTGGACTCTTGGTCAGGCCCCTGCATGCAGGGCGTGTGGCAGAGTGGAGGTCCTTCTGCTAGGCCGGGGGAGAGGAGGAGATCAAGGGTGGCAGTGGACCCCCAGAGCTCAACTCCCCTTTCTGCCCCTAAGCTCCCCCCCCCACACACAAGCTGCCACTAAGGTCCCTGGGCCCTCACCTTGCTCGGGGTGGCCAGCACCAGGTGATCTCACCTGCCAGCTCCAGACCTGGAATGGGCATGTGAGCCGAGGCAGCAGGCCCAGTGGGACTGAAGCCAGGGACACAGGTCAGGGGTGGGCGTGGAGCCGAGTGGTCACTGCCCAGGCATGGGGCAGGCCAGCCCAGCGAGCCGAACAGAGCAGAGCAGTAGAAGAAGAAGAAGCAGGACACGGGGGCTTGAGAGAGGCAGTGGCTTCCCAGCTCCCCCTCAAGGGGCCTGCTGGGTCCCCTTCCTGCCCAGGAAGCCCCAAGATGGCCCATCAGGGCCCCAGACACTGCGGCCCTCCACACGGGCTGGCCCCAGTGGGTGTCAGGCCCTCACAAGCACGAGACATTGCTGAGGACCCCACAATGTCTGGGGCCCCACGCACCCACCTGCTGTGGGGCTTCCCTCCCTCTCCCCGAAGGACACAGAGCTTCACCATCCGTGCGCTCAACCTCACCCCGAGTTCCCCTACAAGGACCCAAATCTCCAGCACAGAACGAGAGCTCTGCCCGCAGCGGGATCTCCTGGGGCCGGGGCCGCTAGCCCAGAACTGACTGGCCACGTAGGCCCCAAACTGGCTGGGTCACGACCAAGGGCGAGTCCGTGCACTGGCGTTAACTCTCCGTATGGCCCACGCTTGTGGAAATCGGCTTCATTTCTCTTCCCCCAGCCCATGGGGCTGCCAGATCACATGTCTGGGCGGCTCCTTGTCCCCACCCCCACTCACCATCACGATGCCCAGAAGGTGTCTGAACTGTGGGCACCGCATGTGCTCAGACGCCCCCTGGACACCTCCGCTGGCCGAGCTGGAGGACATGGAAGGAGGGAGGCCCCCTGGGAGCCCACGGAGGCCCCGGCCCGATGGTGGAAGTGGACAGTGAGCTGCAGCTCCACGGGACACAGGGAACGGGGGCGTGCAGGGGGGCGCCCGTGACCCACCCGGGTGTCTCGGGGGTCCCGGCTGAGCACTGAAGGATGAGGAAGAGGGAGCCAGGTGAAGAGAGGGCTGGGAAGCTCAGAGAGAACCTCCGGAGGGTGGGGACTGCCGTGGGGGCTGGAATCAGGAGAGGGGCGGTCCAGCCTGACCCGAAGCTTGAGAACAGCTTCAGGGGCGGAAGGTCAGATTGGCAACCTCACTGTGGGTGGAGGACAGATGACAGAGGGAACTCTGGCCAGAGAGGGGAGGCAGGACTGCTGGTCCTGCAGGGGACGGTGATGGTGGCCTCACAGGGAGGCGGCCTCATGTGGAGGTGGCCGTGGGGACGGGGAGGAACAGGACAGAGGCTGCTGTCCCCACACCCACCCAGCTTCCGTGGGGAGCCTGGAGGCCCAGGGGCAGAGACGTCCCAGCTCCCGTGCCTTCTCAGGTGGAGGCTGGGTGCCGAGCGAGCCTTGAATGTGACCCTCTGCTCTCCCTGTAAGCTTTCTTTTTCCCTTTTAATGAACAGAAGCAGTGAGTAACCCGGAATGAACGCTGTTGCTATGGAGATGCTTGGGCCAGACTCTAGACCAGTGACCTGCAAAACACAGAACCTTCTGGAGCACGGGGCAGGGCCAGGGCAACACGCCCACGGACGGACGCCAGATGGCCCAGGACAACCAGTGGCCACCCAGCCTCAGCCACCAGCATCTCCCAGTTGCATCGTCCTGCCAGGCTGGGCGTTTTGTTGGCTGGGTTTTTTTATTGTCAAGTTGTTCTAAAGGTTTATTTTTCTCCCTTCCTCCAACAAAATTGATGCCCTTGCCCTTCAGGCTGCCGTCGGCTTCAGGCAGAGAAATGCAACAGGGGAGCCTGTGGCTGTCCAGCTCGTGAGGACGAGGCAGAAAGCACACTGGAAACCAAGAGCTCACAAACCCCACGATGTTCAGGGTGTGGCTACAGCCCCTGTCTTGTGGCCCCTGCCCGGTCCTATTTCCGAGGTGCCACCTCATTCCCCCTCCTCCATATCCGGGCTCTGGCCCTCCTCCACCCAAGCAGAGCGGTACCCTGGCATCATAACAATGGGCTGCCTGGTTCCTGGCTATTCCCCGGGCCGCAGCCACTGACCACGGCCTGTAACTGGGGAGTGAGTGCCCCTTTCCCACTTCCGTCCTCCTCCCTTCTTCCTTCCAGCTCCTCCTACAGCTGGCACAGCCCAGCGCAGCCCTGCGAAGGCAGCGGCCAGAGCACAGACGTGGCACCTGGTCGGCCCTGAGCACATTGCTGTGTGAACAACCCCCATGGTGCTGGCTTGGCTTCAGCCAGGGGCTGAGCCAAAACCTTTACACAACTTCTCAGAGGCCAGAGGAGGGGGTTCCACTGTTATCCCATTTGACAGACTTGAAAACTGAGGCCCGGGATGCTCCGTGATGTGCCTGAGGCCGCACAGCCAGGGTTGGAACGCATGTCCCTCTCTCGGGACACCACCACATCGCAACACTCCATCTGAGGCACAGAACGGCCCACGCAGGCCCTCCGGCGTCCGATTCACCAGAAGCCCTGGGCTGAAGGCCGGCTGGGAGGCCTGTGGGCCCAGCTCAACCCAAACGCCGCTGAACCCATGCCATATATCAGACGCTGGGGGCCCATCGTGGAGAGGAGCAGACGTGTGTGAAAATGGACACAGGATGGGGCCACGAGGGCCGTCTCAGACAAGGGCCACTGCTGGGACCTGACTGAGCCAGGGCAGGCCATCTGCGGGCCAGGTGACCAACAGAAAGAACACTGCGCAAGCAGCGATGCGTGACTTCCGAGGGGGCTCGTGGAAGCTCTGTGGCTCCCCTCCACCTGCCAGGCTGCTCATGCTGGGGGGTGCCGGCCGCCCTGCCGCGAGGGCGCTCCAGCATCCCCATGGCGGGAGGTAGCCAGCCCACCGTGAGGGTGAGCAGCCTGGGAAGTGGCTCCTCCAGCCCCGGTCAGACCTTCAGATGGTGCAGCCTCCGCCAGCATTGTCCTGGGGGAGCCCCGAGCCGGAACCTCCCACTGAGCTGCTTCTGAATTCCCGCCCACAGGAACCCAGGTGATCAACGGTTGTCGTTGTCTAAACCCACAGTTTTGGGTGATTTGTTACGCAGACGCTGCCCAGCTGTCCTCGCCCTAAGGAAAGAGGGCGGAAGATCCTGACCCAGGACCCACCCCCACAAGTGCCCCATGATGCCTGTCGCTCAGCGTTTTCTGCCACTCGCCCCCCCGTGGGCACATGCCGGGTCCCCCACCCTCCTGGTGTGGGGCTCAGGGGAGGCGGCTGGGCACCCCCGCCTTGGACAGAATGACATGAACAAAGGGCAACAGGTCCTTCCCATGCACCTCAAGAGAGCACCAGAGCAGCCCGCTCAGGAGACGGTTCCAGCTGCGGGAGGAAGAGGAGGAGGCGGCCGACCCCAGGGTCCCGGCGGCCCCCTCAGGGCCGTCACCCCGTCCTCCGAGCCCACGGCCTCCTGACCCCAACATGGTCACAGAGAGGCCGCCTCACTGCCGATGGCCGCCCCGTGAGGGATGAGTCTGGCAGACTCTCTGAACAGCAGGGACACGACGTCTCAGAGGTGAGGGAGCTGTTCCAGAACCCTCTCTTCCCACTGCGGCGCCAACCTCCCACGGGCCCCCTGTCTCGCGCCCCCGCAGCGTAATGTCTGTTTTTTGGGGACGGCCTGGGCAGAGCTGTCCGTTTGGTGCTGGTGGCTTCTGGAAGGAGCCATGAGACCCTGAGCCACCTCGTCGCGCCCCCTCAGGTAGGCGAGTCACACCTCCTCGGCGTCTCCTCCCACGACCCCGAGCGCTCCGGACCTCTCCCCTTCAGGCGACCAAAACGCCCATCGGGGTCCCATCAAGTTTCAAGACTCAAAAGGGGCCCGCTGCCCAGCACGGCAACGCCACCTGAACACCCACTGGGAGAAATGCTCACAAATGTCGGGCAGGGACGTCCACAGCTGCATGGCCCCGTGAGGTCCCCAACCGGAATCAGCCTAAATCCCCATGAGAAGGGGGCCGCCGGGAGGAGCGGGCAGCTCCACGGAGACACCGCGGATCTAGGGCCCGGCGCCCGGTGGGGAGGGAGGGCGGGAGGAAGAGGGGGTATCTGTGTGTCTAAACAAACTCACAGGTGGTGCGAGGGCCAGAACATTCTGGAAGGAAGAGCATCAACGGCAGAAGGGCCCACGGAGCAAGGGAAGCTCACCCTTCACTGAACTCGCCTCTGGAAGGTTCTTTCTCCTGCACACAGGCACCTATCGGTGCAGAGAGCAAGGACAAACCCACCCAGCCGAGAATCACGGCTCCGCCCCTCACCGTCTGCCAGAGCTTCTGCCAACATCTTCCCTCCTCTGGGCCTCAGAGTCGCCCTTTGTCACCCAGAAGGTCTCTAGGGACAGGAACCCCAGGAGCCAGGTGTTAATGCTCCTGCGACAGAGCTCCCCGCCAGCATGGAGGCCCGGATGGCTCACCTGGGCCCACAGGGCGCCGGGGGCAGGACCGCGAGGGCCAGGCCTCCAGCCGCAAGGGCTGCAGGTGAGGGAGCGAGGGGACTCGAAGCGCGCTCAGGCCGACTCACAGAGTCTTCCCGATGCCCCACGAGGTGGGCACACGCTGAAAATGAAGCAGAAATGCCTGACCGGGGAGAATGCTGTGGAGAACCACGGAGGAAGAGGCAACACCTGGACTGGTCTGAATCCCGCCTGACTCAGGAGGAGGGTTTATTTCTCTAGGTTGGGGTTTTGTCCCCAGGGGACATTTGGCCAGGGCTGGACACCCTGCACTGCCCAGCACGGCACCACTGCAAAGACCCAGTCAAGATGCCGGTAGACTGAGCTAGGGAAGCCGTGCTCTGGGCCAAGAAGGCCGAGGATGCTTCCTAGCCCCTCAGGACTCTGCCCACAGGGAAGAAGTGGCCCCGTCCCCCAGGAGCCCCAAGGGCCCTGGAGGCAGGCTTTAGGGACCCATTGCAGAGGGCCCGACCCCCACAGCCCAGGGCTGGGACTCCATCCGCAGGCAATGGGGAGCCACAGAAGGTGCTTCTGTTCCTCCGCAGAAGGAGGAACAATGTCGAAGCTTCTTAGCTTTGGACTCAAGGAAGCCAAGGGTGGGGTCCAGGGCTCACTCAGCACGGCTGCCGTCTCCTGAAATGAGTTCTCAAAAGTTGGCACTGGTCATCGTGGGAGGGTCCTGCACTCAGAGACCTGAGTGCTCCCCTCTCCACCCGCTCTGTGCCCCAGGCCACCTGCAGTCCCCCTTGCCCTCCAGCATCCTGCCGGCTCCCAGCACCGGCGGGGGCATAACCTAGTCGTTCCACATCTCCCCTCCAGGCCACAGGGCCACAGCAGCACCTCTGACGGCCCTCTTGCCTTGGCTCTGTCCCCAGGTCCAGGCCCCACCCCGCCTTGGGCCCAGCCGTGGTGACAGCAGCCCCCTGTTCCTCGCCGGCCCCACACTAGCCCTCGAGAGTCCCTTTACCAAACCCCATCTTTGTGCAGGGTGACCTCCTTAAACTTGCTCAAATTGCCCCAGTGGTGTGGGTGTCCGTTTCCTGCTGGGACCCCACTCTCTCCAGGTCCCTGAGGTCCGTTACTCAGAAGGTGACTAGCCAGCCACCGCCAGAAAGGATGAGCTCTCTGGCTGCCAACTCTGCAACCTCTCTAGGCCTTGATTTCCCCAGTCTGTGAAGCGAGAGCTTGTTCTGGGGGCTTTTGAAAGACTCGCCCTACAGATGGCTCCTGGCCTTGGAGAGAGAGCACAGGGGGCCCGGAGAAGCTCCAGGAGTGGGCTTTCAACAACTGGCCGCCCCACCTGGGCGACCCACGGCCCGGGAGAACCCTGCAGAGCAGCCTGTGGCCCCGGAGCGTCCCACAGCCCCAGCCCTGAGAAAGGTTTTACATCCAGCAGCTCAGCCTCATCCAGCAACCTGATGAGGAGGGTGTCAGCCACATGGTACAAATGGGGAAACTGAGGCTTGGGGAGAGACCCTCATTGCCTGAGGTCAGAGAGCTGATGAGGGCCTGACTGGGCTCCCGTGGTACAGGCCCAGAGCCCTCGTCTGCCTATCCCGCTGCTTTGTGACAAACAAGGCCACTCCCCCGGGAGCCGCCCAGAACCTCTGTACCCGGCCCTGAACCCACCGTCGGTCAGTCGCGCGCAGTGGAGACACAGCAGGCAGGAGCCACCACGGATGCTAAAATGAACGGGCAAAGGTTCAAGAAGAGACGGGATACCTGGATAGTCTCCAAGTACCCTCTCCCCTTACAAAAATCTCGCCAGTGTGGGTGGCCCGGCGTTTCCCAGGACGGAGAAGGCACCGAGGCCTGGGCAGGGTTGGGGGCCTGCTAGACGAGGCTGGGCCCAGGATGGCCTGCAGGGCCTGGAGAAGGAGCAGGCCCAGCACACGCCCGGCATTCTGAGTGCAGGGCCCCACCGGCTTGGCCCCGGCAGGGAGGGGGCAGCTCTCGGCCTCTGCACTCCAGGCGCCGGACCAGAGCTTGCATCCATCACCCCCTTAGAGGCCAGTGCTGCGAAGACCCCTTTTCACAGAAGGGGAAACTGAGGCTCAGAGCAATGGGCAGCCTGCCCGAGGCGATGCAGGTTGTGGGTGGCATAGCTGGGAGTCACACCCAGTGCCCTCTCCGGGCCTGCACTCCTGGCGCCCGGTCTCCTCTCAGTCGACACAACCAGCCATTATAGGGGGGCCCTGCCCCCGGCTGTCCGGAGAGACAAGACTTCCTTTCACAACATAGAAGACGTAAAGGTCAGACCATGCGGTCCACATGCCAAACACACCAGAGTCCAAAGGAGAAAAAAACTCAGGTGGGCAGAGGTGGCTCAGGAGGGCTTCCTGGAGGAGGAGTGGAATCGGAGGTGGTCACAGAGCTTCCCCTGTTGAAGCCCCAGGGCCTTGTTGCCAAGTCCACTCAGGGATAATCCGCTTGGGTGTTTCCCTGGTGACACCCATGCCCAGCCAGGTGCCCATCACCCAGGTTGGGGACCCGCTGCCTGAGGTCGGCCTGTCCACCACCCCACTCCCACCCGTGCTACCGAGAGGAAAAGAGTGAGGTGCCAAGCTCAGCCGCAGACCGCTGCTCGCCCAGGTGTCACCGAGCCATGGATCCGCACTGCAGACTTGCCGTCCCACAGCTCGAGTCCCTCCGTCAGCGCACGGCCTTGGGCTCCGGGGCGCCAGCGTTTCCCGTGGGGGGACGAGGCCTCCAAGGGGCTCCAGGAAGCTTCTGACTGAGTGGTTGACAGCCAGGGTCCCTGGCAGAGAACTAGCCGGGCTACCACACAAGGCAGGGAGGTGCCCCTCCACCAGGACTCCGGCAGGGCGGTTTTGGGGTGGCTGCTCCTAAATTCAGCATCGGCAGACACGCAAGGATCTGCCACTGTCCCCCCGCCCCATTTTCGGCAGTTCCCAGGAGGACGATGGACCTCCTGCCCCTCCCTACCCCAACCCCGTCCTCCCCTTGAAGAGTTAATGGAGGAGTCGTGTTTGTCCCCTTACAGCCAGACCCTTGGCATCCCTTGTCCCATCTCACCCCAAAGTGAGCTGCAGACAGACAGCGGACCGGAGGCTCAAAGGGCAGGCGCCTGCGCGAGGCCCACCAGGCTCCAAACCGCCCGTCTGACCCCTGCCTGGCGCTCCCAGCCCGCCCCAGGTCATGGAAAGTCCGGCGAAGAGAACCCGCCCCGAGGACAGCACAGCCCACTGCCAAGGCCCCCGAGGGCGGTGGGAGGGGGCCGAGCGCTCGCTGCTGAGCAGGGCCAGCGGCTACTTTCCACGGAAAAAATGTCTTCAGACACCCCCCCCACCACCTCCCTGAGGCCAGGAGGCCCCAGCCCATGACTCAAGCCTCTGCTGCAGCCACTGCTGAACCGCTTCCCAGACAACGGGGCCGTCCAAGCCAGGCTCTGCCCCCACCGCCCCCCTGTCGGGGCCTAGGGACAGCGAGGGCCCATCCCCCGCCAGGCCCCACAGCTCCTGCCCCGCACCCTGGCGGTGGCTGAGCCCGACAGCACGGGCCCTCCTGCAGGTCCCTTGTCCTCGGGACCTCAGCTTCCCCGCTGTAAGTGGAAGGAGAGCTGGGTGGTTTCTCATTGGACCCCAGAGCCCACAGAGGGTTTGAGCCCTGGGCCCTGCTAGGGGGTTCTGAGGGCGGGGCCTTGAGTTCAGGCCTGGCACCAGTCAGCTGTCAATAAACGCTGGCCAATGTGACTCTGAGTCCCTTCAGGCAGATGCCTGCACCTCCGGCTGTGTCACTGGGCTTCTCTGCTGGGTTTTACTTCAAGAAGCATTTCTGAGACAAAGCATGGAGATGACGCTAAGCTAGGCCACCTGTGCAGACCCCTCTGGCTGTGACATCCTCGGAGATGGCAGGGCATGTGACCAAGGTGGCTCTACAAGGGGCAGGCGAGGTCCTTCCTGCCGGGGTGGCTCCCTGGCTCTAGGGGCGGGAGGGGTCTGAAGCGGGTCCCCAGGTGAGTGTGTGGTGACCTTGGCCTGGAGGCCTGGGCTCCATCAGGGCAGGGAGGCCTTGGAATCTTGGGGATGGGGAGTTGGCATCCTTTTCTGCGCAGCGACGACCATGTCAGCTCGTGTTATGTTCCAGAACCCCCGGCTCAGGGCCACACCCTCTGGAGACCCCACCCTCTTGACCCCAGGACAAGCAGGGTCCTGACCCAGGGGCCAGAAGCATCCCAGGGCAGCAGGGACAGAGGTGGGCTGCCATCCCCACTCCTGCTCCAGGGTCCACGGTGGCCAGGAGCTGGGGACTCCACACGGGTGACGGACACCCAACCCCACGCTACAGAGCAGACTGTGGAAAGTGCTGGACCTAGAGCACGCTGAAAGGGGGCAGGGCCGAGGGACCCCCGGGCAGCCCCAGGGGAACCTCCCAGGCCTGGGAGCCCTGTCACCAGCCGAGGCGTGGAGGGGATTGCAGAACAGGCCAGGAAAGCCAAGCATGTCTACCCCTGGAGTGGCAGGCTCCCCGTGGAGTGACGGAAACTGCGATTTCAGGAGGAGCCAGGGAGCTCTTCTCCCCTCCCCTCCGACGAGGGGCAGCAGCCCCTCGGCCAGGCCGGTTGTTTGAGACCAGACAACCCAGGAAGTCCAAAGCCAGGGACCCCACTTGCCGCTTCTGTCTTTCTCCTTCTAGAAAAGACCCCTCGCTTCATCAGCTGTCCTGGTCCAGGGCCCAGGAGCCGGGGGACCTGTTTCGTGTTGTGTGTGTCACACAACCATCGGCCGAGCTTCATACTTTCCCACTGACGTCACCGGCATGGTTTGAATCTGAAGTGCCTGCGAAACCCTCAGAGGCAGGATTGCAGTTGTCTTTGCAAAGTGAAATCAGATGGGTTTTCCAACCGCCCCCGGCCCTGCCTCCTCCCGCTCCCTCGCGCTCTCTCTTTCTCATTATGTTCCTTGGACCCCATCCAGATGTTTCCTGCAACAGCAGCCCTCCAAAACTGTACAGAAAGGGAGCAAGCGCGCGGCTTCCTGCCTGCCGGGGTGGAAGCAGCGACGTGGCAGGGCGGGGGCGGCGGCCACGTCGGCAGGCCAGGCCGGGGAGGCGGCAGGCTGCAGTCAGGCCTGGAGCTGGACAGCGGAAGGACACGGCCACAGGGCGCTGGGGACAGCCCCTCCCTGGATGCCAGGCCCCGGCCCAAGCTGTGGGCCGAACAGAGGCCATGGCCCGGGAGAGGGCAGGGCAGAGGGTCAAGGCCAGCTCTGGGCTCCCGGCTGACATGGGTGTGACTCCCAGCTCCACTGCTCCCATGTGTGGCCGTGGGAGGCCACGTCTCCACGTGGAGCCCCGCTGCTTGCCCACAGAGGTGGTGTCGGGCTCTAACTAAAGTCAGTCTCTGGCCGGTGCTGGCCTCAGGGAGCATCTCCCCCAGCCCAGCTCACCTGGAGGCAGGTGTGGAGTTGAACAGGGAGGGCGGTCCCAGAGGGTTCATGGGAGAGGGGGCATCTGAGCCTCGAAGGAGGCCCGGTCTCCCCCAGGCAAAGATGGGGAAGGGTGTTCCAGGCAAGGGGCACTTGGCACAAAGACCCGCACAGACCCACTGTTGGGGCCCCAGGCACCCCTGGGAGGGCTGGCATGTGAGGCCCCCAGAGGGGCTGCAAGGTGGGGCCAGGCATCCCCAGCTCCCCAGGATGCCACCAAAGCCTTGGTGAGAACAACATGGAAGTGTCACTTGAGCCAGAGGAGAAAGATCCAGGTGCTGCCTTTGGAAGACCCACCCAGGCCCCAGCCCCCAGCACCCCACCTTCTGAGACCACACAGAGTCTTCCCGTCCCGTCTTCCTGGCCAGCCCCCCTCCACCCTGTCTGCCCCTGTGCTCAGAATTCAGAACTGAGTTGGGGGTGCTTGGTCCAGCTGGGGCAGCTGAGGCTAGCCCAGGCCCCCACCTCCGTCAGCAGGTCCCCCCCAGGGAGGCTCCCCCCACCTGGAACAGTTTGATCTCTCCAGGGACACTGGGAGGGCAGGTGGATGCCCCTGGCGGGCAGAGCTGGGGACATGGACAGGTGGGGCGGGGTGTCAAAGGCCAGGGAAGGACTCAGCACAACGTCCACGGGTCAGAAAATGTGCTGCAGGGCCTCCTGGAAACAAGACGTCCTGCTGGGGGCCGTGAGAGAGACGGGCTGGACAGCTGACACCGTCCCCTCCCAGCTGCCTTCAGGACCAGGACACTGCAGTTCAAGGGTCCCCAGGACCACGCTCAGGCTCAACGATTCGCAAGAATTCTCACAGAACGGAGCCAAGCCTCTGCGGTCACCATGACGGTTTATCGCAGCAGAAGCACAGAGATGAAGACAGCACAGCGGAGGGGCAGGTCCTGGAGAGACCGGCGCTTCCAGTTGCCCCCTCCCAGCGGAGGCCTGTGGACGGCGCGCAGCTCTCCCAGAACCACGTGGGACAACACGAGACGGGGTCGCCAACCAGGGAAGCCCCCCGAGCTTTGTGTCCAGGTGCTCAGTGTGTGTCGGTCACGTAGGCACAGCTGACCCCCGTGCGGCTGACCCTAGCCTCCAGCCTCTGCAGAGGTCGAGCCCAAGGCTCCCCGTAAATCCCGTCACCAGCAAAGACTCGCTGGCGTGGCCCAGGGCCCCAGGGAACAAAGACACTCCGATCAGGCAGGACTCCCCAGGGCTGGAGGGTCCCTCCCGGGAGCTGGGCCAGGGCCAGACCAGGGTGTGGGTACCCCAGGTCTGCTGAGTTAACCCTTCGCTGCCCAGTGACCGCGTCCCCCGCACCGTGTTGGGAGGCAGCAGCCCGCATGAGCCTCCCCAGGCCGGGGAGCGAGGAGAAGAAGAGTGTGAGGCCGGACTGCAGCCCCTGCCCGACACACGGCAGGCACGGCGGGAGCAGGGTGGTGCCAGGGTGGGTGCCGGGGCGGAGGCTGGATGGGGGTCCCGGAGCCAGCCTGCGCCAGGGCCCAGATCCACCCCCGGATCGCACGCTGCAGCCCACGCTCCTCCACGCACCCCCTCTGCCTCTTCAGCAGCAGAGCGAGCCGGGCCCAAGCCTCGAGGGACCCTGAAAGCAGGGGGCCCGGGAGTTCGGCTGGCAAACAGTTTCCCGTCAGTCACTCTCGGTTCTTCCTCACCTTCGGATGGAGTTGGGACTTTGACACGAGCGCCCTTCACAGCGGCCACGCCGCTGGGCCCTGCTCAGACCTGCCCTGCAGCACTGAGAAGAGCGAGGTGGGACCACTTCCGTCGGGGAACGTGCAGCAAGCGTCTGCGACAGGAAGGGCGATGCTGAACCCGCCGGGATGGAGCTCGGATTCCCGACAGCAGGAGGGAGGTCCTGGGGGGGCTTCCTGCTGCCCACCCACCACCTGGAACCAGAGTGTCGATTCCAGAACCGCCTCTGTTAACACGAGGGAGAGTGGACACTTCCCGAGAGTGGAGGGGCCGTGCATCTGGTCACACGGAGCTGTCCCAGTCCTCGGCCACCCTCACCCTGGCCACCTACCCGGAGAGGCCCTGACATGGGTTTCATCTTTTGATTCTTTGTAGAACATTTTAGGAGACGCGTGTCTAAGAGTTTCTACGAACACGGCGGCTTTCCAGGCTGGTCCCCGGGGATGGCCATCGGTGCAGGTGGTGCCCGAGCGGCCCTGGGGCCCCAACGGCAGCAGGAGAGACTTCAGGAAGACCTAAGGCAGATGACACAGCAGTACCGGGCGATCACGTCTGGGTGCAGACAGGTTTTGGGAATCCCCACCTGCACCAACTCCCTGTAACATATAAGCAAAGGTTCTGGAAGGTTCCCAGGCACATAGACAACGGCCTTATACAAGAGTATTTGGACCAGGTAATGCTCAATATTCATGGCCGCCTGTTAGTAGCTGGACCTCTAGACCTCAGTGTTTGTAACTAGAAGACGGGAGACATCAGCACTGCCCCAGAG